CAGGGAAAGACCCAACTAAGAACTAAACTGGTGATGGGCTCAGCCCCACCTGCACATCTCCCTGGCAAAAGCTCTTTCCAGCAACCAGCTGCAGCCATCAGGCCAGTGCATCCTGTGCTGGTGTCACTGGGACAGAGTGAGCTCTCTCCCCAGCAGCTGGTGTGAGGCTGTTGGGGTTTGTGCTGAGCAGAAGCTGATCACACACTGATGGGCAGAGCTGCTGCCAGGACAGTCAAGGACTTTCCAGCTTCTCTGCTGTGCCCGTGTCTGCAGGGGCAGGAGGAGCTGGGAGGGAGCACAGCCCCAGTGACCAGCCCAGGATTCGACCTCAGGGTTAGGATTGAGACCAAACTGGCCGATGGTCTGTTCCATCCCATGCCCGGCATGGCCAGGAGAGAGGGGAGGCTCTGGCTGGAAGTTCTCGCTCTGGGTTGTGTCCCTCTGGGTCACTCCCTCCAGGGTGCCAGCAGAAACCCATCTTCTACGCTTACGTTTAATTTTCAGCAGATGTCCCGTCATACCTACACATCAAAGTGCTAAAAAAGGAGAAAAGGAAAAAAAAAGGCAAGAAAGGGCTTTATGAGATGGAAGAGACCATGCTCTATGCAAACAAGAAACTCTCCCCAAAAGTCCATTTTCTTCAGGAAAAACGAGACCTTCGAGGACCTCTTCATTTCTGGTTTACCTCCTTGTGGTAGCTCGCTGGCAAGTTTGTAAAAGCAACTGCAGCGTCCTGTCATTTCTGGAGAGCAAAACCCATTTCCTAGGACAGGATGGAAAGGCAAAGCCGAGCTCGGCAGGGCTGCATCCTGCCCAGGGAGGAATGGGAAGCTCAGCACAATAACCCCACAGCAATGTGGCTCTAATGGGTACGGTTGCTTGGATTAGGATGTGATTTTTAATTTTAACTGAGCAGCTCCTGAGGCACAGCACCTCCAGCAGGGGCTGCGTGATGAGTGATGACAAGGTTTTTATGCTGCCATTATGTATTTTCATTTTGTGTGCAGGAATCAGGGATAAAATTTTCCTTTTTGTGCAGGAATCGGGGATAAACTCCGCTCCAACCCCACCGGACATGCCAAAGCAGCAGAGACCTGGGAGCCTGCCTGGGCAGGGCTGGAGGCAAAGCCAAGGCGATCCTTGCTCTTCTTCCAGTTGGGATGCTGCAGAACATGGATCTCTGACTGTCACCATCCTCAAAGGTCCAGCGATCAGAGGATTGTGCGTTAGAGAACAAAATGTCCATTGCCGCTAAAAGGAAAAAACAATGACCGTGACAGTGTTTAACCAGAATGTAAATACAGCTGAATTATGGATGTAGAAGTGCGAAACCGTGGAGAAAGATGATAATGGAATTATATATCAATGCTCAGCGCAACTGTAAAAACTAATGTTTTATACATGTGTAACGTTAAATTAATTCATTCCAGTTCTTTCAGGCGAAGGTACATTAACTGCTCCATCTCGGCATAATCATATTACCCCAACAGCCTCTATGGATGTCATACTTCCAGGGTGGTAATCACCCTTTGATTAATTACAGGGAATTTAGAGGCATTACAGCAATTCCTTTCCCCTTGTCCCTCCAGGCTGACCTGCACCAGCCCACCCTCCACATCGCTGCCCGAGCATCCTCTCAGGCTGCACCCGGCGGGTGCTTCCGAAGCTCAGTGCTTGGCCATGAACATCATGCCTGGACAGACTTTGTTCCCCTGCAAGCTCACGCGGTGGGAAGGACACAAAAACTTCCAGGATCTCAGTCCCAGGCTTTGGAAGAAGTCTAAACGTAGGTGTTAAGGTGCCCTTTTCTTCGCAGAATTAGGCAGGGAATGCAAACCGCCCTCGGATGGCTCCTGGTGATGGCAGGGTTGTCCTTGGTGGTGTCACTGCAAACCACAGGTTATTCTCTGTCCCTCTGGGTGATGGAGGGGCTGTGAACAGCACCTGGCCCTTCTAACAGAAAAGGCTCTGACAGCTGAGTCCTTCAACCAAGGCAGGAGAACCCCTCCCACCAGCACATACCAGTTGTGGTGGTGGTGACACCTCCAAAGGGTTGTGAGATGCCTACAGCACAGATGCTCCTCCTGCAAGCATCCTTCGTGGTGATTTTGACTCCTCCTGTCACAACACCGGTCACTTGGTGCCTTTGTCTTCATCCCTGGAAGGGTTCAAGGCCAGGCTGGATGAGGCTTTGGGCAACCTGGGCTGGTGGGAGGGGTCCCTGCCCATGGCAGGGGGTGGCACTGGGTGGGCTTTAAGGTCCATTCCCACCCAAACCATTCTGGGATTCTATGATCCCTGCTTCTCCCTCCCCAGGTTTTGTTGCTGGCACACCAGATCCTCCGTCTCCCAACCGAGCCGTTTTTTTGGTGTTCCCGATTAAAAACCACTTACCAGGCTAGAGCCAACTCCGTGGGTGGCTGCAGCTTTCTGATGGAGGGCTGATGTGCATGGGGTGTCTCCTTGGGATCGTCTCACGGGGGAGCAATCCTGCTGCTTGGGTGCAGAGCCACAGCCCGCTGTCACCGCAGCCCGCTGTCACTGCAGCTGGTTGCCACCGCAGCTCGCTGTCACCGCAGCCCTCCATCGCTCCTACAGCCACCACAGCTCCTGCGCCCCGAGAAGGGCATTCATGAGCCCTACTTGGAACAGCAAGAGACATCTCAGGCAATAGATTTTAACAGTGACTTAAAATAAAAAATAAAATGAAATGCACAAGTACTTATGTAACTGAGCTTTATTTAGAATCTTTGAAGTCATAAAATCTCTCATTTTTACTGATATACGTAAACAGACAATCAGGAGGTTTAATTGCTTTTTCCCTTGCACAGAAATAAGTTTTAAACAAACCAGAGCACCTCAACCCAGACAAACATAATGCAAATTTAATTATCTAACTTGGTCCTGTACATACAGCACACGCTTCTCCGCGTGGTCACTGCTTTATCAATTAGTTGCAATATAATTTTTGGCAGTAATATATTCAACACACAAAGTGCAAATTACAAGAAGCAGAAAATGTTCTCTTCTCATTCTGAGCAATGAGACGTGCAAAATATCTCAGCCCATAAATTGTATTCTTTATGTATATGAACAGTATGTGCATACTAGGCTAATAAATAGCCGTGTAAAACTTTGGAGATTAAATGTGGCAGCATCTTAAAGTAGGAAAGCAACGGTTCTAAAAACATAATGAGACAGAGGAACCATTACATTTTTTTCCATAAATTCTCTACAATATTTCTGAGGGTCCCTCTTCACATTTCACCCCCCTGCCTTTAACTTTGGCGTACTGTGGATACTTGTGCAACCAAAGGCAGTTTGTTAAAAATTCTCCAATTTGCTACGTCTGGACGTATTTCTGTGCATTCTACAGTCAAGGTTCTGCTAACACAACACTTGGCAAATCAAATAGTACAGTGGGAACCCACTGAAAACGTGAAGTCTCTTCCAGGCACTACGAACGGAATACCCACTAACGGTTCCAGAAGGCTAAATGCACTTTGTGATTACCTACAGTTACAGAAAACTTTTCAATGAAATAAGGAAAAACCATTTAAATGAGAGCTAATCCCGGCTTGCATGTCTCAATATAGTCCATCTCACTTCGTACCTGTTCATTTATATAAAATGGGGAAATACCCACTCGAGCTAAAACATACTGACCGCAGCGCTTTTAACACAGTCCCAGTTATTCCCGATTTTGAATCCTCTTTCCATTTAATTCCAGGGCTTTTTTCACATCAAACCAGCAGCCAATTCTGACCCCTGCTCCCCTTTCATTTCTCCCAGCTCCATCATCATTAGAAATGACACCAAACGGTCCAAATCAGACTGGGCTGCTTCCTCTAAGACCCTACTGTTCCCGGGGATAGGAAGATTAAGCCACAACGACTCGCATTGCCATTAATCTCCCTGCCAAACTCATTTGCTAAATCACCAAGGCCACGGTCATATAACCACTGCAGCAATGGCTGCGACACGTAACGGAGTTGCTAATTTTTGGCTAAATGTTCCTGCAGCCCATGCACAGAGCAGGACAGGCCTTGGGAAGGCTCCTCCTGGGCTCTCTCCTGGTTTATTAAACAAAAAAAAAAATGGTTAGGGCTTGGACTGAGCCCTGGGGAGGACGGGCACGGCAGCCAGCCCTGGGAGGAATCATCCCAAACCGCCGTCGTCTCACCGCTGCCCGGCATTATCTGGTATTATCCCAAATGGAGCTCCAGCAGCCCCGAAGAAAGAAGCATCCTCTGTGATCCGTGAAAGCCTCTTCCTGCACTATCTGATCCTGGGGAGGCTCCTGGAAACGCAAAAGGGTTTGCTGGTTTGGACTGAATTTCATCCAGCCTTCAAGACAAGGTGCGGAGGGACTGCTCACCATCGTTACTAGAATTACAGGATCACATCGCCGAAGCAAAGTTTTGTCTTCATTAAAGTTTCAGGATGAACAATTACGCTGCAGCTTGGCACAACAACAACTGCCTTTGTGTGCAACATGCCTGGCATATATCAGCACGTTCCTTCTTCTTTAAAAACATAATTAGAATCGCACGAGATAGGTGGTTGTTGTTTTTCACGCTGCCTAAATATCTGAAAAGGCTCGAACGTTTTAAAAGCTTAAAAAAAAAAAGAGACTTCCCTCTCCCCTAGTTTATTTTTCACGCTAAAGGCTGCAAATTGACACATCACAGTAATTACCTCTGACGAACTTCCATAGACCTACCCAAAGAGATAAACATGAGAAGTTCACATTTGACTATCAGACTTACTGTGCCGAGCACAAATAATTTCCCAGAGGAGAATTTGATATTTCATCATTTGGAACAGTGGTAATTTAATTACATTGCTAATGTTTTCTGGCATACTTGAAAGGACAATTAGCATAAGTAAATCATGAGTGAGATGACAAGTCACTCGGCATTTATTTCTGCTCATCAGATGAGATCAGTTGCTGATCTAAATTCTCTTTTGTGTGCGAACTGATTCCAGGTTCAGCGGTTGTAACAGGGGTTCAGACTAGTGGGGATAAACCCATGTATAAATAGAGGAAAATGGATACTGTTCTTTGAAGTTTCTTAATTAAACCTGTCCAGAGAAACCTCAAAAGCCACCAGAAGAAGGGGAAGGCGGGGGGAAAGGCTGATAAATGGGGAAGGCTAAATGAAGCTGGAGATGCTCACTACCCCTTTCTGGCAACGGGGCGAGCACGGATTCATTTTTGCCAGGGTTTGCTTTACATCCCGCTCAGGCTGAACAGGATTATTATAGCTCTACTGATGTTCTAAAATAATTGTATTTATCTCCGCGAAGAGCAATGACATTCACGATAACACCGTTAACGTTACGGTTCCTTTCTGGCGCTTCAGGATGGCTACAGCTTGCTCGTGAGTCACACCTTCCAAAGCTTCCCCGTTAACCGCGATGATCTGATCGCCGCGCTTCAGCCTGCCGTCGTCCGCAGCTGCTCCCTGCAAACGGCAAAGCCAGGCGTTAGCCGCTGCCTCCACCGAGCCCTCCCACCTCCCTCCGTGCTGATGGGTGAAAGGAGGAGGGATGCAGCACTGGAAATCCCACCATCCCTGGGCGGGGAGCACTGGAAATGACAGCGCTGGGGTGGCCCCGAGGGCTCACCCATCGCCTGGCGCTCGCCCCGCTGACTCAACCCGGCCAGGTGATACACCCCTGGGAAGAGGAGAATGGGCTCATCCCCCAAAAACTGCAGAGTAAAGGCTGGTTCTGGCTTTGATGATCATGGAGAGACTTGTTAAAGCAGAGCTCACGCAGCCCCACAGCCCGGGCACTGCCCTAGCCCCGGACGGAGCTGGGCTCGGCTGGAGAAGCTCCCGCAGAGCTTCAGGAATGGCTGTGCTCCTCCGGAGGGCTCAGGGCAGCTCTTTTGTCTAAATCCTGAGCCCTGCCCTGCCCAGAGGTCGGCTCACGGTGCCTGTTTCTGTTCCACAGCCCCACCAGTGACCGCAGTGTGTTCTAGCTTCCATTTCGGGTTTCTCAGCTGCACTCACATCTAGACACCTGTAGATCGAAGCATCAGTTAAAAGACACAGTATCTTCCCATGTTAATAATTGAAAATTGTTAAAAAAAAATAGACATTTGTGTTTTGAGCCCTGGAATTGCAGAAGCAGAGGAGATACGGCTTCTACTCCACCGTCAGACAAAGTTTTTTTTAATTATGTCCCAGACCCTGCCAGAAGTGCTGACACAGCGAGTAGGCACAGGACAAGCAACTGTGTGTGACCGACTTCAAAGTTACTTTACAGAAAGTATCCCTAATTCTAAACTACATAACTATTATTACTTGTTTTCCAGCTGAAGCTCAGCCCCAAAGATGCAGCATCTCTGCAACTGCCTCCTCTCCCGTGCAGGGGGAAAAGTGACGCCTCCATGCCTCTTGGAAGGCTCTTGGAGATTCACAGATATAAAACTGCCTTATAAATATTTTAATGTATCAAACCAAGTCTCACAAGTACACAGAGCAATTTTGCTGAGATAAAGTATCTCGTTTCAGCCATCAGTAAGATGACATACGAGCTGAGAAGCCGGCTGTGAGTTCTGAGTCCACTTACTCACATCAATGTACTTCGACAGTACATTCTGCTTCCTACTACATAATATATTATCCAAGCTAAATCTTAGGTTTATTTTTAAAGATAATATAGAAAAAGGGAGAAAACAAATGGAAAAAAAAAAAGATACCTTGGCAAATATAGTCTTGACATAAATGGGCAGGTCTCCATGGGGACTTCCATACCCCCCCACAATACTAAATCCCAGTCCATCAGAGCCTTTCTCCAAAGTAATCATCTTAGGCTGAGGTGCTCTGGAAACACAATAAACATCACTTAGAACAGCAATGTTTCTCATACAGTCACAAACCAGGACTCTTGTCCTTGCACCGAAACACACCCCTGCGCAGCCCGGAGGTCAAAGTCTTTTCTGTGTACTTCAGCTCCTCGCTTTGACAATACTGATTTTTATAAGAACTCAACATGAGCACTTATCTCTGAGGCAGAAGCGAGACTCCCCTGATCTGCAGTCGCTGCATGTACGCAAAGGAGAGTTTGCTTTCCTCTCGGCCACGTTGTCATCTTCAGTCTCTCTAAGTGGCAGCTGCACCCATTTCCATACAACATCATTTTATTTTACGACTTCAGAGGAATGGAACCCTCTAAGTGGCAGCTGCACCCATTTCCATACAACACCATTTTATTTTATGACTTCAGAGGAATGAATCTAACAGGGTGCAGCCACTTGGGATATAGTCTCATCTCTTCAAAAGCCTCTATCTGACCTTCATCCCCGTGCCCCGTAGCCCTGAGAGCCCCTCAGCGCATCACTTAACCCCCAACTGCTCTTTTACTGTTTGCATTGAGTGGCAGCTGCACCCATTTCCATACAACACCATTTTATTTTATGACTTCAGAGGAATGAATCTAACAGGGTGCAGCCACTTGGGATATAGTCTCATCTCTTCAAAAGCCTCTATCTGACCTTCATCCCCGTGCCCCGTAGCCCTGAGAGCCCCTCAGCGCATCACTTAACCCCCAACTGCTCTTTTACTGTTTGCATTGAGGAGAAAAAAGATTTTTGGTGGAATTTAGACCACTCACAGCTATAGATCCATCTCAAATTTGAAAAAGTAATTTCTCCATATCCAGAAGGAATTCTTGTGGACAGGAGCTGTTTGGCATCTTCCTCCTCTATCAAGGTGCAGCCCACGGTGACTGCTATCTATCCATTTCTTCAGGACAGAACGAACGCATACGCTTACCTAACTCTGCTTCATATTTTCACATTCTAATTTCCTTACTATTTGGATATGAAAAGAGAATACAAATCCTTTTGCAAAGTAAGCAGTTCTCCTTTGAGAGCAGCAATAAAACCAGTATCTCCCGTTGTAAGACTAAAGAATGCAGCAGCAAAAGCTTCACTTTCATACTAAAAACCCCCCGAGGTAGGGCAGCAAGTTGCATTTCAGCATCTTAAAATAAATATAATGAATCAAAGAATGAAAATGAAGAACATAATGAAGCTAATGAACCAAAATGAAGATGAAATGAATTTCACAATGGTAACTGGAATGCTATAAGCTGCCTTCAAGAGCACACGATGGAGGACGATGCATGGCCATGGGAGAGCTAGAGCTCTGACTTCCATCACCATACAGAGGAAAAATTTTTAGTCAGACTTTTTCAAACTGTAAAGCTAAAAAGATTCAAAAGACAAAGTTCTGGGACATGTTCTGAAACATTTCTCTCTGATACCAGGCTTTTAAACACCTCCTGCACTAGTCTGCCAACGCCAAATTATTTCACATTGCTCCTTTGAGGCAAGGAAGCTTGGAGAAGGTCACAGATCCCCTTTTAAAGGTGATGGAAAATTAGAGAGAAAAGCAATGGGAGAGACCTCCTTCACCAGCCTGGGCTTTTCCCTTGCATGGGGCACAGAAATCCACCTCAGTTTTGCAGCCAAGTACGAACTTACTCGGGATCTTCAGAAGGATGCTCAGAAGCAGCGCTGAGGTTGCACCCCGCAGACATGCTCTCCAGCTGGGTCGCGATGGCACCGATGTTGGTATCAGCCACAACCTAAGCAGAAGGACGCAATGAAGTACCGTGTGTGTTCACTGTGTACCAAAGACATCTTGGGTAATTACGTAGAAAAGAGCTGACACATTAGGAAAATCAGTCGTTGACTTTTTTTTCAAGCCCATTTCAAACACAAGTCTTCCTCTCTTAAATTTCCTGCTAATTCAGTGCTTTCAAATAATGGAGTTTAAGAGTAGCCACCTTTCTGGAGGTTAAAAGCTTTCTCTTGCTTTGACATGACCATCACTCAGATGCTGAGCAGAGGGGAACAGTCCTTCTGGACAATCCAGAGAAAGAGGGGACTTTGGCGAGGCAATAGGGTACATCTCGGGGTCAACACAAGGTGGCCAGGGTTGGGCTTGAAAGTAAAGGTCTCCCACAGAGAGCAGCTTAGCCTCTAGTAAAACACAGAGATCCAAGGGGCTATCGGATTACTGGGCAAAGGTCCTCAAATACCTCCAACTGGTTTGTTTGCTGAGCAGGGAAGAAATTAATCCTCGGTTCCAACTTTTCTGCAATTTCCAGCATGACTCTAACAAACTGGGTTCTTAAACTTCCCAGTTCTGGCTCCTGCATGGTTCTGAAACCATCACAAACTACCAACACACAACAGAGTTAATGACATTTTGACAACTTGTGCAGCAGCAAACATGCTCAGGCTTTTTACAGCAACCATACCAGTGTTGTACAGGCTAGTCTTGAGTCTATGGCCATCTTGAGAAAACACTTACTTCAACGCTGAGGTCTGGGGTTTGCCATTCCCAGGGTTTACCCTCATAAGGATAAAAGCCTGTAGCTCCCAGTGGGATTTACTAAACACCAAGTGTCAATGCCCACCCCAGCTTTTTTTTTTTTTTTTTTTTTAAACCTTTTATTGCATGCTAATTTTCTGTTCTTTGCTTTCTTTTCCTGGAAAAAATTTGAGGAAACCACTACAAAGTATTTTGGATTTTAAGTATTCAGAGCTGAACGGGCATCAGTTTCCCAACAACGACGTGCCATGGCTATCCTGTAACTCCATCTCCTTCTGACGAGATATTCTTCTCTGCCTGGCGTTTGCTGTACAGCACAGGATTTTGTCTCAGAGGCAGTGAGAAATAAGTATATTTCTTATAATATATATTTGTAAGCATATTTTCAATATTTCCTCTAGCTACCTATGATCTTATTTTATCAGAATTAACAAGTACTTTTTCCACTCCTTGCTGTGACCGTGGCTTAAGGGAAATGTACCTTTTCAGGAGAAAAAAAAAATCCATTATATAAATCCCCTGTTTTAAATGAATGCTCCCAATTCTTCCGCAACGATATTTCCCTCTTTCTAATCACTTGGAGCCAAGAGAGTGGTAGCGTTTCCTGGGAAGGAAGATTAGTTCTCATGCAAATTCTGCATCCCAGGACTCAGGTTCTCGGATGCCCTGAATGAAGGGGTCCGGCAGACAAGATCGCTGCACCTGGCTCAGCCAGCAAAGACACGGTCAAGTTTTCCTTCCCATTGCAGTAGGGGAAGGAGTGCCAGCCAGCAGTTGTCATATTTTGTTGTAAAATAAAGCGAGGGCAAAATAAATCTATATTCAAAAATCTTCAGTTGGCAGTAAAAACGTATCAGAGTTCAACAACCTTGTAAAAAAGCTTCCCCTTATCTCATTACTACACCTGCAGAAAAGAAATTAAATTAAAGCAAAGCATCAAAACAGCCGAAAGGGATGATTGTTCCCCTGAGAGCCTAATCTCCCATTTGCAAACAGCATTTGCAAACTCCTTTAGCATCCTTCCCAGGACATACGGAGATAATAAGCCTTTCCACACCACTGAACGCAATTATCTGACCTTTCAGAGCAGTTTGCCATGAAGTGGTCTAACCTGATAATAAACAGAATTACTTAATGACACATCAGTCATGATTATCACAGCGATAGGATTATTCCATTTAGATTGTTTTAATAATAATAATAATAATAAAAGCAATCTGGTGATTGAGAAGTACCTGTGGTTAGCGTGTAAGGTAACGGCACAGCCACGCTTGCGGCAGGGCTTGACGCTAAATCCAACATCCCACCTTCACATAACAGATTTTTAATAAAGGAAAATAGACTCTACTCTGTCAGAATAAACCCGGATCATCTGTTAAAAGTATTAAGCCCATTTTAAGCTTGAATGTGGAGGAAAACCCGTCAACTGCCAAACCCAAAGATGTTTCTAGAAGAACCTCTGTGTTTACGCGAGCGGCCAGCTGACAGCGGGCTTCATCGGGAATATTTTCAAAGGTGGGATGAGGTGGGATACGCTGTGTTACAGCTCTCAAGATTAACAATTTTGGGTTCTGCAGCAAGCTTTCATTTTCTGTTCACGGAATACAGTTGACATGACAAGTGAAATTACTCAACGTTAGTAATGATACGAGAACTAGAATTTAACAGCAAACCCTCCGCTGGTGTATATCCGTGTGTTTCCTTTGACTTCAATGGAACTACACAAACCCACCATCTTGCTCTGCAACTGCCTCATCCCTCACCAGGTCAGCAGCTCACGGACACACAAAAGAAAGAATAAGCAAGTCTAAACCCAAGTTTATTATAGTTTAATTTCTTTTTTTTTTTGTTCCTTCCCAGATTTACTTGCGGGGTGAAGGGAGGTGCATTTAATTTTTTTTTTTTTTTTGTTCTTCCCCCCCCCCCCCATTTTTACAGTCACATTTATGTTGTAACGCCAGCAAGAAGCTTGCAAAAATCTCTCAAGATGTGTTCCAAGCCAAAATGCTGTGATGATAAAGAAAAGTAGAGTAGATTTTAGGGGTACGTCTTCAGCTTGTTTTCCAATTGTTACAACAATTCTGCAAACGAGCAGTATTTCGAATTCTCTCTGGCAAGTATTTTTCCCATTTCTTTGTGTAAACATAAAAATACACTAAAAACGACAATACTGGTGAGCAGCAATCAGCACCAGAGTGGCAGAACACGTCTTCCTTTCAGCTAGTGTATAAACGCGGCACTGATAACGCTGTTTTCTCTCTCGAGTGTTATTATTCATTACCTGTAGAATAATAAATTCTAGGCAGGACCATCTTAATGATGATGCTATCGTTTTTCCTAAATGCTGCTAGCTTTTCTTTCTTCTCTCCTTTTCAGGAACAAGGAAATGAGCACTCTGGACAGCCTGGTCACAGCCTAGCTACGTGCATGCACACACACACACACGTAATTTCTTGTACCTAGTCGACTTCAAATTCAAAAAAACCCCAACTTGCAAGCTTGTTGATTTATCATGTGTAGCAACAAGTTATTTTGTTTTCTTTGTTACGCTTTTATAAAATCATGCTCACAGCCTGTATGAGTGCCAATAAAGAATTTTTGAATGAAAATTATTTCTTGCTTTCATTCTGTGTAATTGCCATCAGCAAGCACCCTGCAATTCTGTGATGCCTTGTGCCAGTGATGCTTAGGGATTTTTTTTTTTCCCCTGAATGCCATTTATCTACCCTCATGCAGCTGCATGTTCAATTTATCACCATACCTGCAGGATAATGCTCCCATAAGCATTCTTTAGTAGATTAACTGCATCTGCATGAGACAGCCCATCCAAAAGTTGCCCATTAATACTGACAATCCGATCTCCAACCTGAAAGTACAACAGTAATGGAAAATTACTAGCATTAGGGAAAATTAAAATTAAGAACGCTTAAAATTCCTCGTGAACTTGGCACTGCACAGTCATGCTTCTCTTTTGCAGGATCCCTTTTGTGAGAATTCTGCATTGCTAGTGATCATTTACCATTTTTCAGAGCAAGCACAATACAGTTTTTTTTTTTAAATAACAATGCCATCAGAGAAACAACGATGGGTTGTATTTTACTATTTCCACGTGCAAGCAGAGCGAGCTTTTCACTGCTGTCCTCCCATCCAGAAAGGATTCATTTGTGTCCATATGTGCAGACAAGTTCATATTCTTACAGACTATGTATGCACATGCTGAACGCAATGTAGAGAAGCAGGCACTTCTGATAGTAATCTCATTAACCTAGATGATTTCTTCTTCTTATACATAAAAATGATCTTGACCCTGGCACTTAGTGCTATTGTGTAATTCTATTAGAGACACGGCAGGAACGTAGCAGCGCGTACTAACAAATCTCATGGGCCAGAGCAATCCCATGGATCTGCATAATAAGTTCTTTTCAATATTAATGATGCCTTGAAACTCTCTCTTTTGACTAGAACATTTTCACCGTGGTCATTCCTGGAAACCCACATATCCTGTGGGTCTGATAGAAGTGCTTTATTTTGGCATTTCTTTATAAGGTCGTGAAGATCAAACAACTTCTGATCTACTTTCTACCTGGTCTGAGCTCTCACTGATGCCCAATTTGCAGCCCCCAAAACGCCTGTGGTCTCCAGAGGGTTTGGTGCTGCCCTCCCTGGGTCTGGATGAACATATACCTTCAAAGACCCCTGCAAACGCATTTATCTTCTTCCTCTTAATATCACTTTTCCATTGCCATTATCCCAAGATGCAACATAATCAAAAAGGGAAGAGAAGGGCAGGCTTGGGGTTTTTTGTTTGTTTGTTGTTGGTTTTTAAGAGGCAGAATAGTCTATGAGATATTATCAAAGTGACGGCACATACAGAAGTGCTTGAGGCTCCCTCTCCGCGGCACTCATGGCAGATGAAATACTGTGAGGACCCCTCTACTCACTCTGAGTCTTTGGGTACGTGCGGCCACGCCACTGGCTTGAATCATAGCAATGAAGATGGGAATATCTCCTAATGGACTGCCCTTTCCACCTGCTATACTGATACCGAGTGCATCATTTGGTCCCTAAAACAAAACCAGAAAACCACAACGTTTGCAACTGGAGCAACTTGTAGAGGTCAGTGTCCAGGGTACGGCGATAACTGACTCATTCCATTTACGGAACAGGGAGAAACACACATCCTCACACATGCAGGTCCCGTTACACAGGCAGGCATGCAACAACTTACTGCAAACATAAACAATGCAATTTTACTTCTGAGAAACACTAAAAAAATTAACAACTTCAGTTAAAGGTGTCAGCTGTTTGATAGAAAATAATTCACTGACCCTTGTTATCTCCACAGTCCTGGGGCCCGTATCTGCTCCTCCTAATAAAGAAACAAACAATTAGCTTCTGTAATTAAGAGATAATATAATTAAGAGATAACACTGTCAGGTGACAATGGTCCCTCGCTGCCTAGTCAGAGTTATCACCAAGCAGAAGCCGAGCCTTCCTGTGCCAAACCGGGCAGCGCTGCTCACGCGAGGACGGGATTTCTGCTTCACCCACTGCTGAATGCGGATGAAATCACTCCGGCTGACGGATGCCACCGTGACGCCCATCGCAGCCGCTGCTCACCACAGTCTATTGAATAGCAGCCCGAAGAAAAGCCCTATTGTGCATTTCACTCCATTAAACGCTGGCTGATTACTCATAAATTACAGAGTCCCCACCACAAAGGGTAGGGTCTGAGACTGCTGAGGTTCCATTGATTTCCTCTTCTAATTTGGACTGTATTAGTAAATACTAGACAGCCAGGAGGTCTGGCTGGCATATATGTAGCCACAGGACATTTAAAAGTACTCACAACTGCAAAAGAAAAAGAAAAAAAAAAGGACACTTCAAAGGAACCATTTGGACTAAACAGCCTAAAAGCTGACGGTGGAGTCAGGTCTCAGGCTCTGCTACACCAGCCCCTAATTCTATCAGCATTAATTTTTAAGAACCTTTTAGAAGGTAGGAAGAATCAGTCTCTTTCAAAAGTTAACAATTCTTAGTAACACAGATCAGTGTTTCTCACTGCCACGCACATGTGCTTGTGCATATATTTGCTACGAGTACCCAAAGCAGGATTGCCGAGGAAAGCTGCCCAAAAAGCCGCGTGCCTCCTCCCGTGCACACAAACCGGCAGAAGAAACATCTTCGACTTCTGCCCACGGTCCGACGCGAGCAAAGGTGCCCAGCTCCTGACACAGGTCACAGCGCACAGAGGCGCAGGCTCTCCACGAGCTACTGCAGGGTTTGGGTTTAGCACTTCCTAAATCTGCAAATTGCAAACGGGGCATTGTGACTCTCCTACTACAAAACACCCCTTTATACACTCAAGAGCAACAAAGATATAAATGAAGTGGTGGCAGCTTTATTCCCTGAGAAAAGCGTTTCTAATGTGAGAACTTTGCCTGTGCTAAGCCTCCGACAAGGGCATCGGGGAATAGCAGGGCGCGGGAATTCTGCACTGAAAATAGAGGAGCCATTACTCTGCTGGTAGACATAAAAATAATGTAATCTGCTGGAAAGTGTTCGGCTCCTAAAATATCGGTGGTACGTCTTCAGGGAGGCTGAGTAGGAAAACCAGATTCAAGCGTTCAGTTTTGCTTTGAAACCAGCACAATAAATATAAAGCAAGTAACACGCAGCTATTCTGACAGCTGCCCGGAGTATACCTGAGTTCCTCTGAGACACGTCTGCTGAAGATCTTTTTGTGCTGACAAAGTTCTGTAAGGTAGTGAGGACCGGAGCAAGCGCAGGGTGGAAGTGGCTGTGGATGTTCTGTTGGTTCGCCTGAAAAATAAATCAAGACTTGTGAGTCAAGCCCGAACATTAACTTTGTGTTAACCCAAACCAATTCCTGCAGCATCCAGGCGCAGCTGTGCTCTGTGCCAACCACACTGGAAATACCACATCAGCTATGCAAGCTGCAAACCCCTCCAAAACTCCATTTCCAAAGGAGGAACCCGGGGACACTGCTCTTTGCTCCGTTACGTGCTCACCTAACACGTAGGTTGCTCAGGTGTGCTCTAGAGGTCCTAAGGAAGCGGGATTAATCCCCTCCTCCGCTTATTCCCAGCGTGTCTCCGAACTGGAGGAGAAGGGGAGGTGACGGATGCTGATAAAACTCGGGGACACTTTCCCCACGATGCGCCTGCGGGCACTTCGCCTGCGATGAGTGTGCGCAAGGCACCAGCCAGACCCGTAACAGCTCCACGGTGGGGATAACGTCGACACCCCTCTTCTCACACACCAGGAATCTACAGGCTTTGGTCCTTTAGCTGAATGTATTGTCCCATTAACGGACCCTGCTCTGATTTCCAGAATAACCTCCCAGGTGACAAAGCCTCCAACGAGAGCTGCTCATGCACGTTACCCACTCTTGGCCATCTATTCCCAGCCCTCCTTTCCCCAATTTCCAAATCTGCCTTTATCTCTGCACTCTGCCCCTCGAGGAAACATCGCTATCAACGTAGGAAATGTGTCTGAACAACAGGTTTCACCGAAGGCCAGACCTTTTCAACTATGCCGCCTTACACAAAGCAAAGACCTGGTCTCTACTCCTCCGCCCGCAGCCCAGCTTTCTCCCTCCGAACGCATTCGCGGCGAGTCCAAAGCTCTGGCAGCGTTTATCCGAATGGACCAGCGCGCAGCTGTCGGTGACGAACAACAGGCCGAGCACAATTTCCACCTCCAGTTGCCAATTCGTGGGTCAGTTCACATAATTTGCAATGAGCGTGAAAGAAATCGCCGTCCCGCGCGACGAGGTTTATATTTCTACCCTTAAAGGTATGCGACGGACCGAGAAAAAAAGCCAAGCGAGGACAAAAGTTCTGGATGCTCTCGGCCAGCAGCTTCTCAAACATCGCGCGCAGTTGTGCAAATCATTCAAGCCGATTTGCCGTATTATCTGCCAAGATTTTTATAACTCTTGGAACGGTTTTGCTGAGAAACATTTACTCTGTTTTGAAAATCACCGAGTCGCTGAGGAGCAGCGAGATGAAGGCTCTCAAGTGACTCTGCGTTAAGAACAGCAGTGAAGGTTTCTTGTATTAAAAGAAATGCAGAAATTGCCAAAAGCTTTGCTACAAAGAAAGGGGGATGACGCTGTTTGACCTGATTTTCTACATAGACTCACGGTAGATGAGTGTTTTGCTTCCCTTTCGGCTCTGAGTTTTACACGGTAAAACTGGGTGGATAATTTTTAATTGTCACTTTTTGATCACATTGCTCTTGCTTGGGATAGCTGTTGATACAATGACCAAAAAAAAAAGTAATACTCAAGACTGCCTTTACTTAAAGCCATCAGTATGGTTTTCCTCTGTTATTCCATTTCTCCTCGCCCGCTGCATGCAGTGCAGATGTTTCTCCGATGATATTCAGTCCGTATTTTTAAAGCCGGGCTCAGCCCAGCTGTTCCCGCACGGACACGGGCTCTTTAGCCCTTCCTGACACCTCTCACACGGACAGCACACCAGATCACCACCGGCCCTTAAAAAGTTAAGAAATCACGGCACATGACGATGATTTTGGCACCTTTTTTGGGCTGTTCATGCACAACATCAAGGACAAGCCTCCCCTCTTACCGGCCTCCTTTTTTTTTCCTGCTTTAACTGATGTCTCCGCCAAGCCTCCTGTTTCCAAACCCAAGCCCTTCTTTTAGCATTTTGGTGGCTGGGCTGGATCCCACCGGTGTGCAGCCCCTCCATTAGAGGGAGAGGTGTGAGCAATGTCCCCTGGGTCTCCCCCCCCAGAGAGGGGGTAAAATCCCCCATAGCAATGCTGTGAACCACAGCTTGTCTCTCTCCAGGACACCAGCAACTCAAATGTAATGGCAAAGCAGCCAGTCTTCGGAAGGAAAATCCATTAAAAAAGTTTTCTGAGTCATCTTGCCTTTTTTTTTTTCCTCCCTTGCAATACTCGGACTTTAATACTAATGGTATCAGTGTCGGAGCTGACGGAGGGGCACGGGGAGAGGGGAAAAGCCCTGTGCTGATTGAAAAGTGAATTGTTGTCCTTGCTCCAGGTGAAAAGCAAGCGGAGCAGGAAATTGCTCTGTGTTGTCTTTGAGAGCAAAGCGGCTCTCATGTGGTTCTGCCGTAAGATAGGCAAAGACACAGTTCGGTTTCATTAACTCACGTTGACGGACAAGGCAGCTGCAGAAAACACATTCAGCATTTTTTGCAGGTCTCAAAAAAATTTCTAGGCGTCATCATTTGAGAAAGATATTACACATTGTTGGTGTGTCTCAGGAAGACACTCCTCAAACAACAACCAAAAAATACATTCAATAGCTCTTCTGCTTCATCAGCATTTCAGCACGCCACTTGCTTCGCAGCTCAGCACAATTATGGTGATAAAATATTTTTGTTCCACATCCTCAGCAGTGTCTATGGAAGGACTGAGCCCCACGCGCACGCCTGTGCCCTGTCCCCGTGCCCTGCCCTTCCCAGCTCCATGTCACAGGGATGAATCCGTCACTAACCTGACTGTTCTGGGGTGTTTTCCGTGATGACAGCCACGATCCAGCTCGCAATCTCCCAAGCTCAAGATGCACAAGGCCTTGGGCACACTTGTAAAAAAAAAAAACAACAAAAAAACAAAAAAACCCCAATGTACAGCATTTAAGTAGACATCTAAAATTTCACGCTCTCCTGGAGAGAATTATGTTTATATTCAGCACCACAGCTCCGTGAAGAAAACCACAAGGAATGCTCAAAACATTAACATTTGTATTCAGACAATACAAAAAACGCCCGTCCCTGGATTTAGGTTTATCCTGAAGATTTCTCCTGGTTGCACTGGCAAACTGTAGATGGCCAATTACGCAGGAAAAATAAACAAAAAGCCCCCAACTCTTTAACAGACGTTTGCCACAAACAATACTTATGAAAAAAACCCTTCAGCGGAAAAATGCTGCAGAAAAGGGGTGAATTTAACACATATGGATTCAACTTCATCATATAACCTCGAATCACTGATTTCCAAGTCTTCCATAGGTAAACTTTCAGACAAGTACCAACCCGGAATGGAAAAAGCAAGGAAATAATCAGCCTTTGCCTTCAAGAATGGAAGAAATGGGGATGGCAGGGAAAAGCCCTTTTCTGCAGATGCAGTTTGGATAGAAACGGGTCTGCAGCATTGCTCCCAGCCGTCCTTTCGCCCTCGGTGCAGGCTGTGGGTCCTGGGAGCTGCAACAGAGGAGCTGGCACCAGGCACCCGCAGCCAGGCCATCCCCTGGCCTCTCTTCTGACCCAAGCAGCGACGTCCTTTCGAATGGGAAAAAAGCAAATTCTCCCAGACTGCACAACTTCAGGGTACAAAATCACTCCTGCAAGACAGAAAGCTGTGCAGAAATGGATCGAAGCTGCCATTTTATAGCTGCAGGTCAGGACAGCAAAGATTTGCATGACTCTCAGGTTTCAAAATATTTTTCTAACGTATGAAATACCCAGTTGCATTTGCAAATAAATGCCCGAATACTACATGTGTCTTTGTTTCCCCACTTCATACCATCCCACTTCTAAATATACTTGGAGAAGTGATTTTAAATGAATCTCCCAAAGTTATTTCAGATGAAATTCCTGCCTCGGTAATCAGCTGGAGCTGTCCTGTGTGCGTGCAAACAGCACTTCAGGATAATTAACTTGCACAGAGCCAGTAACTGCAATTCAATATCTTAAAACGTATGATACACTCACCTTAAGTATAGTGGCAACAGTCTCTTGTGAGGCATTCCTCATATCCTCTCCATTTACAGACAAAATTTGATCTCCTTGAATTAATCTCCCATCTAGGTCTGCAGCTCCTCCTTTAACAATGTCAGAGATAAACACGCCACTTCCATTTCTAACAATGCAAGAAGCATACGGCTAATTACACAATCCAATATTCTTGGGGAGACCCATTTCCATTACTTGCATTTAAGAGACATTAACAGAAACCTGTGAGCAGAGGAAGGACTCATTTTACATCCCATTCAACTGTTTGAGTGCAAAAAAAATCTGAGTTTTAAAGCCAAGGCATGTTTTGCTACATTTAATGCTGTCTTTCCTCTTGCACCATTAGTTCTGACGATATGATCCACAAAGATTCATGAAAAATACCACCTGTATGAATAAAAAGCCAAGGATTGGTCTAAGATGGAGTTAAACTATGTGTCTGATAGGAATTCTACAGCCTTAGATTTTTTTTTCTCTATTCCCCTCAAGGTTCAGCTCCATTTCTTTTCTAGAAGCCTGGAGGCCCCCAACAGCAGAGCAGGGAGAAGGGTGCAGAAAAGATGTTCAGAGTTTGCACCGGAGTTATGCACAGCAGCAAACCCAGCTTGGCGGCTGTCCGCCTGCAGCGAGGCAGTCCCCTCCGTGCTGTCCCCTCCGTGCTGTCCCCTCTGTGCTGTCCCCCTCCGTGCTGTCCCCCTCTGTGCCCCAGGACCCCTCCGTGCCAGCCCCGGCTCCTGGGGCTGCAATGCCAAGATCTGGCATTTGATATCCTTCGCTCTGAAGGATGCAACATGTCAGAACCTGGAGTATACCCCACTAGAATTTAATTGACTTCAGAAATGGGGGTACCACTAAGGTGGAAATCCCCGTAAGCGAAGCACTTCGCAATAGCACAGAAAGTTTTTGCACAGAAGCAAACGCGGGAGGGCTGGAGACTGCGATTACCATCTGTAGGGTAATTTATATAAACTAATTACCCAGCCCACAATCTGCTCACAACACCTGGGTTAAACATCGCCACTCTTGTAAAAAAAAAACTGCTGTGGAAACTTTACTGACCGTACACAGTCAGGATAATGACATGATGATTTGTAATTGGGAAAATAAATTTTTTTTGGCAATATGGAAGAGCAAACATACGACTCTCACGCACCAACACTGAAGGGGCGCTCACCAGTGTCATGCTGTAAATCTCTTCTAGCCATGAAAGATTAAATCTATCCATGCTCTGGTTTGAATGATCTAATAGCAATGGGTTAGAAGTCCATCAGCAAAAAGTCCCATTTTATCAGGCAGCTGTTCCCTACCACGGTATCTCAGGTTCTGCTCTGTGCTCACAGCACGGCTGCCTGCAGCGTTGCGTGGTCACCTTGATATTATTCAGGGTCTGGGTCTAACTCAACCTCATTTTTCACCCACATTGGTCCCTTTGAACCCAAGCAGGAGCTCGATCTAACTCACAAATCCATTTCTGAAGCCATGTGCTTGGGAACAGGAAAGTGTCTCTATTCTGAAACCAGAAAAGCCACGTCTAGGGCTCCAGCCCCGAGGCACAGCGACGACGAAGCCACCAGAACAGCGAGCTCCCGGCTCCACACGCTCCCTTGCAGCAGGGACATTTAGATACCAAATTCTGGCCCTTTCAGAGTTTTTCCTTTATTTCATATTCCATTTAATGGCCACAGTTGTTTATATGTCAAAAAGCAAAATATTTCTCATCTGCAGCGCAGTCTGACCAGAGAGATGCTCTTACCGCTTTCCAGCTATGCTGAGCCCCAGTCCTCGGCCCGTTTTCTTTTGGATATCTACATAGAAAATCTCTAAGTTTTCTTCATCTTTGTAATGCGCTTCGTCTCTATAAACCACCAACTGCACCTTCTGGGGCGTCTGGCGTAGCGCAGTGATGGCTTCTTCGTGGCTGGCGTTCCGCAGATCGATCCCGTTCACCTGAAACAATCAGCGTTTGCTTTCCAAACGACACGTATAAATGAGCTTTGCATGGCGCCCTACCCTTGCGTGACAGGACAGATTTGTCACATTGCCACCCCTTGGCACTCTAACTTAGTGCTCCTCTTTGCAGGGGGCCGAGCTCCTGGATCTCCTACGGAGCTTGAGCTCGGTGCTTTGTGCTGCTGCCTGGAGAAAATCACAATAATCACCACGTTTTGGATTTTAAGTTTTGTGGGTGTTCTTTTTAAATGCTGGAACCTCAAACTATGCTTCTTTCTAGACAAAGTGGGACGTGCTCCTTTGAGTCTCCTACATCTCTTGCTGCTCAGGTCCCTTCTCCCCCAGCTGCAACACGGCCAAGGCAAAGGCAGAAGGAATCGGAAACCTCAGCAGACAGCAACGGCAAAGCCCAGGCAGGACATGTTCAATGGTTATTTTGCTTTGTTCCAATAGATGGCACACCAGACCATTCCTGGAGCACTTGAATACATTTCTCTCATGATCACCTGAAAATGTTTTAGTGTTTCAGTAATACCAGATAGAACAAGAAGTTCTGATTGATGCTCAAGTATTAAAAAAACCCCCAAACTATCGCAACTTCAAACTTCATCTCCTAATTTTGCCAAGCCCGATCCCCAGAGACCCTTTAAGGTGTTTGCCAGTGTTCTGTTGGCAAAATAATCTTTTATTTCTGAATACCAAAAAAATATCAATGCCTAAATATTTCTGAAGTCTCTTTAGGAAGCAGCATGAGCTGTAACAATCCAACGTTAATCCGCGTACATAACGCAATAAGTTTTAAGGCAATGAAAATATTTCTCAGTATTTCCAGATGTGCAAAGTTATAATCATACTTAATTTTACATTAATTAAGCCTAATCTATAGTAATTACATGATTTTGTGCTAATTCTGTGCACATTTATTTACACACTGCCTTGGTATTCTTTTCTCAACACAGGCTTCTATGTGTGCTTTATCACACCAACCTGAAAGGAATTCAGAGTCATCTATTTGATTCATTAGCACGGCTTTTAAAAGCTGCAATAATAACAATATTATGGCACACAAACATTAGCGCTTTCCTGTTTGGCCAGCGAAGAATTAATTAACTAACCTTCCCCATTTTTATCCTCTAATTATTGTGCTCTGTTAATACACAGTTATTTATAAAACCAAAACAACATTCAGCCTTAACGCTAAAAAAAATATTTTCAGTGCAAGAGCTGTAAAGACAACTCCCCAAAGCACCCCTTGCTATTTTTCTAACCCTACACACCAAAGCCTTAATGGCCATGCTGGGAATTTGTCCTGATCTGACAGCGAGAGGCTGCAAGCAGCTGCGCCGAACCCCTGCCTGACGCAAGTTTCATTTGCAGCCCAACACTTCTCTCTTAACCCTTTCCCTCCTCCATTTCCATGCTTGTCTGCAGGAAAAACCCTACATTTACTCCCAGAAGTAACTCTGCGCATTCACCAGTTGTATGGCCCGTGGCCCGAAGGAGCCGGCGGGTCCCCGTTCCCACGGCGGTGGGCGCAGGGAGGGTTTCGGCAGGGATGCTGGCAGGGATGCTGGCAGGGATGCTGGCAGGGATGCTCGCCCCACGTTCGCCCAGCTCAGCGTTTCATTTGCAGGCGGCGCAGAGACGCTGTGGCCTCCGGATAAAAGATTAAACAGATGAATAATAGCGAGGTATTGGACATGACAGCTGAACTATGTAATGCGAGAACTGCCTTGCTCAATTAAATTTAATATATTCTCCATTTGTACCTTGAGTTTATAGGAATATATAAGGGAACAGGAATTTGCCAGGATGTTCTTAGTGATAGAAAAGAAGCTTCAAATGCAGACCCTACTCCATGATCTCCATTTCCCCTACAAGAAACCTACGGTGTGTTGAATACAAGTGCACATGACAAAGATAAAACCAAGCACCTACACAGAGAGACTGATTTACCTCCAGAATCTGATCACCGGCCCACAGCCTGCCATCCCGGGCTGCTGCCCCTTCTTCATAAACTTCATGGATCACGATGGCATCCTGCGGGAACAAGGGCTGGCGTTAATCCTCCCTCTGGAACACCCCGAAACCGGCGGCCACGACCCACCCCACGCAGCCCACTCCATGGGATAAGCAAGACTGTAACAGATTGATTTTTTTTTTTTTTTACTATTTTGGGATTTCGTAATTAAAATACAGATAGGTAGTAAAAAGGCAAAAAGGATTTTTTTCAACCACCTCAGGGTAGTCTTGTCTAGAGCTTCTCGGGCTTCCATCATTTTTATACATTGGCATCAGCAGTGTGCGAACTCAGCGTGAACTGTTGTATTAATATCATCTACTTTTTATGATATTATTTAAAACCAGATTCTTTGGAGCTATGAATATTTTTAGGGACTTGGCATAGATCTCGGCTTTAAGCAAGAGCTGAATGCCTTGTGGTAAACAGCGCTGGTTAAATCTGTAAGAAATGAAATCCAGAAGAAACGAACAATGGCAAATGTTAGTTTATTACTGAGGTTGGAAAATGTAGGCAGTGGCAGATGTAGCTTCAGGGAAGGGTTCAGTGATTTAATCTTATTGCCAGCAATAGATGTCCCCAAAGAAAAAGCATTACAAAGAACATACTGTTCTCTTGCTGCTGCTTTCCCTTTGCATTGTTCTGGTTTGTTTCTATTTTTTTTTTTTTCCCCCTGAAACAAATAGGTGAACATCCTGCTGCAGGATTGTGCAAAATGTGCTCCTCTCTCCGATGCCACCAGCAAACACCCAGAAATAGGTTCACTAAACTCTAAAACAGCTCTGGTGATTTTCAGTTAGATCCATAGATATTGGATGATCTCAGACACATCCACGCTCCAAAAACTCTACGGTTATGAAGTTCCTTCGCCCGTTTGATGTACAAGTCAAAGAAGAGGCTTTCCGCGGCGTTTGCAACAAAAGGCGGCGAGGTCAGCGGCGTGCGAGCCCCGCTGCGTGCTGCCTTCCTGCAGCAGGAGCAGGAAACCGCTGCTGGGGCAGAACAAAGTACCGTCGCGTTTTGCAAACACCGTGAGACACCACATCTCTCATCACCGCGTTAACTCCCCCCGTGTTGCGATCCGTTCCCAGTGCACACCGTGCATGTTGAACAAAAAGCAAACTCAAATGCCCTGAGGGTAAGGGTCTGATCAAGACAACACTGAGAACGTGATTCCCTTTCATTCCCACTACACCTTATTTAATGATGTGGACTTGGATCCGCAGCCGCTCCGCTGCTGCTGGAGCACAGCATCCCTGTCACCAGCCTCCTCTTTGATACAGATACACCCGCCACTGAAAAAAGCCCGGAGGATCTGAGAAACAAACGGATTACAGCTGATACAAGCATCCCAGATGGGGGAAAAAAAAGATTTCAATCTACATAAAGGAAGGCAAAATACTATGAGCTGTGTACCAAGGTAATTAAGAAAAATCAAAAGACTGGTTTGATTTAAAAAATGATAAATATACACACCACGGGCAACTACGTGTCTTGGATCTTCTCTCTGTTGTGGGGTTTTGGTTTTTGTTTGTTTGGTTTTCTTTTTCTCTTCTTTTTTTTTTTTTTTTTGGGTTACCTTTGTTTTAAAAATGATGGTGTAACTTTACACCAACACAAGAGCCTTTGCCTGGGTGACAGCCAGGAGGGTGACAGTGAGCTGTATTTTTTCACCTGAGGCTGATTGCGGGTAGCTTTGAGAACAAGCTGACTCTGTGGTTTAGAACTTCCACAGCACGCTTCACTTCTACTTTTTTAAACACTTTACAAAGGAAGGCATTGAGAAGCGGCCAGCGAGATAACACAAAACGTTGACCAGCTTGTTAAGACAGCATCGGTCAACCCGGACACACCGGGGCAGCGGATGAACACGGGGTTCGGCAGAAAAATGGGGAATGGGCACGTACACGGGATGGTCAAATCAACCACTTTCTATTTAATCTGCTATTTCCTAACCTCTGAGCAAGGAGCTTTCAATCACAGTTCTTTAAGTTCGTTTTCCATCTGTGGTTGCTCTAAAGATGGTCAACAAACTGGAGTCACCAGCTTTCCCCAGTGCTGCGTTATTATAAACCTGCACGTACCTAAAGCTCAGAGTCAGGAACCGCGGAATGTTATCAGATCGAATAATCTGCATCATCTATTCGAAAAGGCAACAATTCAGAATGACCCTGCAGTTCCTGCATGTGTTAGAAGCCAGACCTAGAACTAAAAATACATATGGCACGGGAAGGTACATTCCTGTTCGGTCTGTGCCTACCCCGGAGAAGGAAACATCTCGCTGCCCTGCCAAAGCTCTGCTTTTCTTAACTTGGTTTTTTTTAAAGCAGTGGAGTTGAATCAGGCTTATCAAATTGATTAAAACCAGAATGAAGCAACGTCTCCGTGAAGATTTTTAAATAGTCCATAAGCATAAATATGGGAGCCTTACCTCACTTAGCTCGTAAACTACGACAAACACACATCTCTCCTGTGATAATCCTGGGATCAGCCCAAATACATTTCTCCCAGAATCTTTCTCCACTGGATCTAGTGGGATCTGGATAAAAATGCTATTTTTGATTATTCATGACAAATCACTAAAAACAAACTACTGCTGTTATTGAATGTTTTTAATTACATCCATATTTTAAAGAAGTTCATGCAGTAATGAGATGCAATGTCACACTCCAACCATCTCAGCCAGCCCTGATCTGCAATGACTCTATTAACATGCTGGGATTTAAGCGGTAACACCCCTCTCAGCGCCTCAGAAAAAAAAAATAATTGGATCTATCATGACTAAAACAATACAAAACATTTATTTAAAGGCTGGGTTTTGGTTAGCAAACGGCTGCAGCTCCTGCTCCCCAGCTTCAAATTCAGTTGTAAGCTTGGTATCTCTAGAAATCAAGCCCTAAATCGCTCAAAATTAATTCATCAATAAAGAGGGAGGAAGGGAAAGTGGTATCAATGTTCAGCTAGAGGTTGTGAGTTAATGGTGACTCTGGGCGGATTTTCGCTCCCATCCCTCCCATCTCCTTCCACTACCAGTTCCGTTCAGATTAGGGCACTCCACGAAACCGCTTGGCAGAGTTGCAAAAACTGTTCGTGCAGAAGGGGGAAATAAAACCGCTCCTGTATCAAGAACATGGCTGTTTAAAGAAAGATATCCAGCTGCTGAAAGCACATACTTCGGAAGGTTTACAAATATATTCAAAAAACTGGAGCTTTAATCTCTGTATATTGTAACAAAGAATAGTCAGGAACCATTATACCAACGGGGAATTAACGCAAAGCTGCACATGGAAGGATGCAGAATACAAGCCAGGGCATATAAACAGTGCTTTCTACGCTAAGCAAAGTCCATGCTCACAGGTGTAAACTTAGACTATCCGACTGTGAAAAGACAAAGTAGAAGGGACATTTTCTGCTGCCGCTGAGGCTGCTGTCCTGGGCTGACCAACCCTTACATTGAAGAGCCTGCAGCCCAATGAAATGATGCTGACTGCTACTAGCTAGACTGCATGGCTGAAAAAAAAAAAAAATCACCTGCAAGCCAGAATAGTTCCCAAACACGGCAAGAGCACACCTAGTTTGTACATGATGTGCACCAAATCTGTTCCCAAGCGGTAATGCTTACCAAACCTGCCACGCAGTGTGTTGGACGGCATTTGGAAAGGTTCAGATTTGAGCTGAAGAGTTCCTGGAGTTTCTTGGTCAACACATTGAAGAACAACGTTGGTGTGGAGTGAATGACAACTGAACAGTGAGGGGAAACCAATCTTACAGAAATTAGCACCCAACCTGAGAATACACTTATGGAAAATACAACTTGTAAAATGGGCATGGTGTGATCTCCGTTGAATTTCCTTCTAGCTGAGCGACAGAAATATCCCTGAACTCTCAGGGAATCAGATCTCAACTCCCTCCCAAGCTGTGGATATTTTTTCTGCTTTTCTCTGCTTCAGAGATCTGGTAGGGGAAGAATATCAAACCCAGCCATCAGCAGAGAGCACAAATGCTAACACTAGGAATTAAATTCAGTAAGAGTGACAGCTTCATCTTTGTATCTTAAATGTCAAGAACTGGTACGGCAGAGACCCCAGGCAGCAACCACATAGCACTGGCTCAACCCAGCCTTTGGGAGAAGGGTGGTGAAGTCAACTTCCTCTTCAGGAAAACCAAGCAAACCCGAAAAGCCTGCAGGACCAGAAACAGCGGCGAGAAAGTCTCAGAAGCTGTCTGGCTTTAGGCTTGGACTGCTCACATGCTTTCTGCGAGTTGATAGCTTCTGAGCCACTCTCTCCAGTGTTTCTTTGCTTCCACACAGTGGTTCTTCAGAAGGACAAGCAGCAGCTTTCGATGCAGGTGCCCTTTAGCACTGCAAACTGGTATTTGTAAGCACTAGAAGTAGAGGGCAAGGGAGTAAAATGACACAAGACATGAAGGAGGCTCAAACATTAAGTACCATTGCTACCTTCATGAAGTTCTATCATGCGATAAAAGGTGGATCAGTATGCAAGAGGAGAGATTTCAAAAGAACTGGCACAGAGAAATCCCCACATAGCTGGATTTGACATGGAAAAAGGTCTGAATTTGGTAAAGAGGCTTCTTCTGTAGTACTGAATAGTCCTTACCTACTGCAGATTATTCACAACAAGCTATTTCTTTAACCTCCTGAGGGTAGAAACCAGATCCAAGGCTCTGCCCCCTGGCTCCGAGGCTATCTCATCGCCAGAGCATCCCCAGACACTTGTCCCAGAGCAAAGGGAGAAGGTGCCCGTCTCCCAGAACAGACACTTGTGAGCACACCCAGGCAACGATGCTGAAAGGCAGCTCAAAACAGAGACTCCAGATTCCGGGGAACCTACGTCGTTGCGCAGTGCTAGAAAGCAGGCAGGGCAAACTGCTGGAATTACACGAATTTTATGTGCCTGTATCTCAGTTTGGTCTGTAGTGAGGTGGATGAAACCTGCCACTAACCATAATGACGTATCTGGTGTAAGAAACGAAGCTTTCTGCGTGGATTACTTTCCTG